GTTTATCAGGGTGCTTGAGAGATATTTATGTAATTGAATTATGGTTACCCTATGTCCATTATGGCCATTGTTTCCTATTGCAGCAAATAGTCAAGCATGTAGCATGTGGCCTAATTGCAAAAACAGTGGGAGGGGCTCAAATGTCACTGTTTTAGTGTCACTGAGATGAAGGATGGTGCCGGGTGGCTGGGGGGGGCTGTTTGGGGTGTGTCACATTGCGGTGGTGTGTCCAGTGATATTTAGAGGTCTTTTTTTGGGTGCAGCCTATGATACTGGATTCCATAGATCTAGAGCTTCTTGATCCAGGGCTTCAAGGACAATCTGAATAGAGTTTTGTATCCTCTAGCAGAGTGCTTCCCAACTTTTTTTTACTTGTGTACTCCTTGACAGTCCATTTGTATAAACTGTACCCTTCGGTAGAGGTGGGACAGGGCGGTGGGGGGCTCTGTGGGGTATGCCATATTGTGGTGGTGTAAATAGAAAAGTTAATGGTTAAAAAGCGCCAAGGACAATCCTTATCCCTCCTGGGGAAGAAATCGTAAGCACATGTGCAAGGTGCAGCCTCAAAACAGTCAAGGGTACTTTTTTTTTTGGATTACACGATATTGCACCAGGATAGGCGCCTCTTCTTTTGTGTTTTTTATATTGTGGTGGTGTGTTCAGTGTTATCTTGAGGTGTCTTTGGGGTGCAGGCTGTGACACTGGATTCCCTGGATCTAGGGCTTCTTCTTGATCTAGAGCTTCTAGGACCATCTTAAAAGTTTTGCATTTTCTAGCACATCGCATCCCAACCATTTTTTACTTGCGTACACCTTGGCAGTCTGCATACCCCTTGGCAGTCCATTTGTAAAAACTGTGCCCCTCAGTAGGGGTGGGACAGGGGGTGGGGCTAATAGTGAAGCATGTAGCATGCCATGCCAAATGGTAGGTGTGGCCAAATTGCACAAATGATAGAAGGGGCTCAAATGCCACTGTGTTCTGTCAGTGGGATGACGAAAGGAGCTGAGGCACTTTGAGGTATGCAGTGGTGTGGCCAGTGTTATCTTGAGGTCTCTTTGGGGTGCAGCCTATGACACTGAATTCCCTGGATCTAGGGCTTCTTGCACTTAAAAGAAGTGAAGGGAACATCACTTAGCTGGGGACTAACTCAGGTATTGGCAGCCAGAACTATAGAATGAGTGTTGGGAAACCTCAACCGCAGGATTACTCTGCACACATTTAGTCCCTGACTTCCCACTTCCATAGCATTTTTTTGCCATTACAAAAATATTTTCATGTACCGCTAAACGTTCTGCCAAGTACCCCTTAGGGGCACTTGTACCCCAGCTTGGGAATTGCTGCTCTAGCAGATACTGTATGCATATATCTATGCATTTCAACTGTGTAATTAGCCATGTGCCTAGAGACTTCCTCTTTCCTTCTACAGTCCCATGAAATGAATAGAAGTTTTTTCTTTCTATATAGCTTTTCATTTGAAATTTTTATGACTAAAAAATTATAATTGATTTGGTCTTCTTCTGTAATAACTTTTTTTTTTGTACTTAACTTGTAAAAGGCAAACCAGAGATCTACACAAAGGTAAAAAAAAAATATGCGTTAGTCTCATAAAAATAATTTGCCACTGACATGCACAGTTAATTTTCATTTTTCTAATCTAGACCATGCCTCCCAATCAATTATAGCTCTATCATGGACTTTTCCCACCGGTCTTCCTGCGATTAATCAGCTTGACATGGGCCTTGGCGGACAGTGACAGTATACAAACAACCGCTTTCTGGAATGCACAGCTGCTGACTTCGATCACAGGACCTGTACGGAATATATTCTGGGAACCTACTTTATTAATTTTACTTAGGCACAGATTGAAAAATATAAAACTTCCCTCGACTCAAGGCCCTCAGTATTTGCAATGAGGAAGGCCATTGGGGAGAAGAAGTGAGAAGTGACTGATTAAAACGATGCCGGTCATATTTCAGAAAAAAAATGTAATTCGGCTTTTCATTAAAATCCCATTTCCCTCAGTAATATGTTCTTTTTAAAGAAAAATGTGTTTTTTGGCAGCACAATATTTTGTTTTCAGTAAGCAGGGGCAAACCGGCGATTTTGATAAGGTAATAATGTGACTGAGGCCAGGCCGGGAGAAAGCAAGATATATGTGCGGAGAGAATGTATGGGTAAGAGAGTGAGGTAGATGCTCTGTCCGGGTAATTGAAAGTCAGAATGATGGCAAAGGTTTAACAAGACTTGTCAAAGGTGCATTTATCAAACAAACAGATGTGGGAGAACTTGTGCCCCCATTATTCTGGATAACGTCAGGTGACTTCCTCTCAAGGTGAGAGAAAGCTTGTCATAATGAAAGTTGATCTTATTCATTTCTCTTTCTCGTTCGGCCTTTTTAACTGCTCTGATTCTCTTTAGGCTTCCATTCTGTACTGTGTTCAAATCATGGGTAGGCAACCTCGGCACTCCAGCTGTTGTGGAACTGCAAGTCACGTGAGGCATTGCAAGACTTTCACAGACACCGACATAACTCCCAGAGGCATTATGATATTTGTAGTTTCAGCACAGTTGGAGTAGCAAGGGTGCCTACTAGGGTTGCACCAATACTTTTCGAGTAGCAATGCCAATACTTGGCATTTTCATGAGAACTACCAGTATTGCAGCGGTTGCAGCTGGGACCTGGCTCTGGTGCTCCATCATCCGGAAATCATTAGTTGATATTGTTTTAGAAAAACTGTCACATGACAATAAACAAAAATGTATCAGTACTTGTATCTGTTAGTACTTGGGCAAGTACCAGTACTTGTACTCGCAAAACTGGTATCTGTGCATCCCTTTATTTATATTTATAAAAACAAAATCATACATAAAACAGAGATGTACAAATCCCATGAGCTCTGTGTGCTCCTTACAAATGACAGCTGCCTCCTAACTTTTGAATTTTTCTCTAGTTTAGTCTTGGAGCTGGAAAAGTATCTGTACTTGTACTTGTACCGAGTACTGTACTTGGTATCGGTGCATTCCTAGTGCCTACCCCTTGTGCTAGAGAATCTTTTAAATTCACAGTAAAAATTATTAGTAACCTTAAAGCACTCCCTCCAGCCTGTCTTCTTCTCCGCTGCAGTTATGATATGTCCCTTGGCTTTTTTTGTTAGTGTTTAACTTAAAAAAGAACTCTGGGGAAATTATTATTAACCTTTTCAGTGGGGCTACGAAAATAACAAAGTTCTACTTACCGGATCCTCCGATTCAGCTGGCTTTGACAGCTCTCCTTCCTGCCTGTCTCCGCCTCTGCAGTAGAGATGGTATGTCCCTCAGCATCCTCACATCCTATACACTGTGCATTAGATGTAATGATTTACAGGACCTTGGACACCTGCAGTGGAGCGGGAGAGACGCTGGAAGGAATGGTCTAACAGCCAGCCGACTCCAAGGATCAGGTGAGTATAACTTATTTTCTTCCCTAGACCAAAACAAGCACTTAACCCTTGCAGTGCGTGGGTAGCGCCAGTAATATTTAAAAAATAATAATTTTCATAATGCTGTGTGAATTTTTGAACACATAACAAACATATAGAGGAGCTTTCTTTAATTTGACTGCAAAAGTGGAAATACACCTTAAATTACTAAATAAAGTTGTCAGATCTCCACGCTTGAATTCTTGGTTCTCATGGGCATTTTTCTGTGAACAAAAATAAACCCTGGGTTTCATGTGACAGTTGCTGGAAAGGGAATGGAGATGTTTCTCAACAATGAGATATGCTCAAGTCTTATACTAATTTTCCTTTTCGATCAGTACTAGCAATGGGCGTTGTTTAGGGGAAGGGGGCAGGTGGTGGTCAGACCCTATATTTATTCCACCAAACAGGTCACGTGCAAGATTTAAACTTTCCTTATGTTTCCAGGGAGAGGTACTAATATATATATATAT